GGGTGGGAAAGTGGGTGTGGTCTGTTAATTCCAAAATTCCTGGGCACATGCCCAGAGCAGTTCCCCAAACCCTGCACATGGAGCTGTCTCCCAATCCCTCTTGGAAGAACTCGAGCAAGTGTTCACTAGGACCTGACCTCACCCGAGGAACTGGGACACAGAGACAGACCCCCCCCCCCCCGCACTCTCTACCACCTGCTTCTTGCATAATAGTCCACCTTCATGCTAATTTACTAGTTTACTACTTTACTTGGCCCAAACTTGCTCTGCAGAGGCTTTTTTTTTTTTGGTTTTTTTCATTTTTATCGGTACCAGGGATTGAACTCACGACTACCTGCTTGCAAGGCAGGTGCTTATGCCGCTGAGCTAAATCCCCAGCCCCTGCAAAGCCTCTTTTTTTTCCTGCCTTTAATGTAATACCTTCTTATCTTTTGCCCTTGTCTTGACTAGTTTCTTTGTTCAGAATAGAAAGAGCCTAGAAACTACTTCTAGAAGGAGACGGTAGCCCCCCAGAACCGCAGTGTCCTTGGAATATCCCTGGACGGTGCTCATGGGCAGGAAGCAGAAAGCGCCTTGGGGAAGGCGATTGCTAATTACTAAAGCAAACCTGGCCTGTGAGCTGTTTCCCACCCTCGTGCCCTGCAGAACCCATCACGGACTGTGATGGGACAGGTGTGTACAGGCATCTGATGGCAGCATAGTTAGCAGTGAGTGTGTATTTCTTACCACTGCTGCTTTGAAAGACAGTAACCTTTAGGGTTTGTCCTGGCGGAGAGGGAGGAAATCCTCCCCAGTCCCTGGTCCCTCCCATCCCCTCTCTAGTCCACATGTGTCAGAGGTTCTTTTGTTGCTTCTTGATGCCTGGTTCCCCTTGGTTGGGGGGGAACAGTCACTGCCCCAGTGCCACAGCTGGACCTCCAAGCACACTCAGTGCCTGGCTGCCTTACTGACTGGCAAGGTTTTCTCCTCAGACTGGAGGTGAATCTCCTTGGTATTGTTTTACCTCCCCCCAGTACTGAGAATCACCCCAGCACCTTCACACTAGACTATACCCTGGCCTGTTAAAATTTTTTTTTTTTTATTTTTAAAATTTTGAGACTGTCTCAGTAAATTGCCTGGGCTGGACTGGAACTCATGACCTTCCTGCCTCAGCCTCCACCATGGTGGGTTTGAATCAGCTTTAGCAGGTTCATCTAATGGGATGATACTGAAACCCTGCAGGCCGCAGGGCTGGGAGCCAAGCCCAAGGCTGAGCAGATGCAGAACCTCCTGTAGTTTGCACAGAGGGGGTCTTGCACAGCCTGGCTAAGGGGTTGGTGTAAACTGGGTCTCAAGTTCTTTCAAGTGTGGAGTCAAAAGAGGACCCTGGAGAGGATGGCAGCCTGTGGGCTGTGGGCAACAGTTCCTGCTCCTGCCAGGGAGCCTTTGAGGTCCTGAGCACCTTCCGTAAGGGAGGATGGGAACTCCCTGCAAGAGGGCATCGTGGGCAACACTTTCTCTCGATTTGTAAAACACTGCAGGGGTTACTTTTGAAGGAAACATCAGCCTGGACACAGAAGCTTGCCCCAAACACTTATGCGTGGACTAAGTCCCCAGACCCAGCTTGTGAGTCCCCTCCCCCTGTATTTGTGGTCACCCAGAGGTGCAGAGGGGTGCTGGGCAGCATTCCATGGCTGTTACAAAGCACCCGAGAGCACAAATGTATAAAAAGAGAAAGGCAAACACACCACTGCCATCTGACCCAGCCATTCTGCCTCTGGTTATTCACCCAAAAACTGAAGCAGGAACTCAGACAGACGTTTGTGTGTCTGTGTTCACAGCAGCTTTATTCATGCAAACGGCCTGGAGCTGGGAATAACCCGAATGTCTGTCAGCCAATGAACAAGTGAGCAAAATGTGAATACACACTGCAGGCCGTGATCCATGTGTAGAAGGGAAGGTGTTCTGCAGTGTCACAATGGGCCCAGGGCCCGAAGGCCGTGGGCCAGGCCGGTCCCCAGACCCAAAGACACGCTGTGACTTACCCTCTCAAGTCGCGGAGGGCAACACAGGAAGTAGCCAGGCCAGTGCGGACCAGGACTGGGCGAGGTGGGTTTCAGTTTAGCAGTAGAAAAATCCCTGGAGATGGATGGTGTGGACGGTGGCACAGCAGTCAACCAACCTGGTATCACCGACCTGTGCAAGTTGTGAAAATAGTAAATTTTGTGTTAATGTACATTTTACTTTAATCTAGTAGGGAAGCGTGAGGAATACATTGCCCACTGCAAACAAATCGGTAAGGAACATAAAATGATAATTTTCAACTTCTTGTCAAAAAACTTTTTTTTGAGATAGGCTCTCTCTGTGTAGCCCAGGGTGGCCTTGAGCTCACAGGTAGCTAAGGTATTTCCTAGTACATCTACAGCATGCCTTTTTCTGATCATAGCTCTTACATAACACAAAAACAATCACTGTTCTTCAGACAGCAGTGATACGGAAGAAAATATAATTAAAAACCAACTTGTTTTTTCACTAGTAAAGAGCAAACATCTTCATGCTGAAGATTTCACAATGTTGGTTTCTGAATGTAGACAACCAATAGCGGTTTGAAATCAACTCCAACTCTCCATTTAGAAACCAAACAGAAAAACTATAAAAATACACTGAGCTTTTCTTAGTCCCAAATTGCAAGCCACTGAAAGAGCTGCTTGATCTATTTTTGGTGTCATAAAAACGCAGATACATTTCAATCTGTTTTTTTCTTAAGGACATTTAGCAATAAGATACATGTAAGTTACATTTTAAAACTCATTACAGCAGGGTTTGGGCTGGAAAAATGTCTGGCAGACCCATCTCCCTGTGGAGCACTGACAGGTGTGGTCAGCTTGTAACCCCAGCTGACCTGATCAGGGTGGTGCTGACCGTGCACAGCCCACCTGAGGACTGCTGTCAGGATAAAAAGGAGATGTGCAGAGGTAAGGTGCTGGCTCTCCTGGTGCTGTGGGTGCTCTTGAAGTAGTCTGTCTAGCTTCTTCCCTGATAGGAACTTGGCTGTTAACTTTTTTTTTTTTTTGGTCTTTTTCATTTTTATCGGTACCGGGGATCGAACTCATGACTGCCTGCTTGCAAGGCAGGCGCTTATGCTGCTAAGCTAAATCCCCAGCCCCCAGCTTGGCTGTTCTTATCGTCAGAGGAGTGCAGCACCCTTTGGCTGAGAATGGCTGTGGTTCACTTTGGGGGAGCTCTGGTTTTTACTGTTTCTTGGCTCTGGAGGGGAAGGTGTGTGCTGTTCATACTGGCTTCCTGATACGAACTCAGCTGTTATTATCGGAGTGGCTCGGGACCTCGTTGTTGCTGAGGATGGCTGTGGTACAGCCCTGGTCTTTATTTTGAGCGTTACTTCCTGGCTCCAGGGCAGATCCCTCAGCCTGCTGGCACAGATCCTTCACCCCACTGGCACAGGTTTTCTGGCTTACCCCACTGACTTTGGGCCTTCCTAGCCCAGATCTGTGAAACAAACTTGCAGGAGTTATTGTCTGACTCATGGGGGCATTGTCATGGCCCTAAGCCTCCAGCTGAACTCATGCAGGACACTGCTGTGGGACCCACACCCTTAGCTGGATTCTTTGGGTCTTGGTGTGTGGATGACTTTCCTGCACTTTCTTTGTATTTGACTCTTTGGGTAACCATTATAAATAATACTACAAATTATGTGTCCGGGATCGTCTTGTTCTCCTTGCAAACTCTGACTACAGTACCACCACAGACCTCGTCTTCCAGGCTATCATTTTTCTTGTGTTTTATTCTCTTGTTAGTGAACTTCATTTCCAAATACTGCTTTTATACATCAATACTTTTAAATTAAATAGGTATCATCCAAGAGCTCCCCCTCTGAAAGATGAGAACTTAACCCACACAATGGCTGTCTTCTTAAATTATCAGTTACTTTATCTTTAGTTAATCTGTTTTATCTTGCCTTGGATTCACTGAAATCTCTTTCTGATTTGTTAACCTTACACTGTATTCCTTGCCTCTCTAGGATGTAAAAGTCTTTCCCAACTTTCACTTCTCAGCTGAGGTTCCTGTACTAAGTGGTCTGGGGGTGATCTAGTTGATGCTAAGAGTTGGAAGCTATTGAGTGGCGTGCATGCTGGAGGGACAGGGTACAGGAGAGCAGCTCAGCTCCTGGCAGCCAGGAAACAGAGGGAGGAGCCAGGAGAAAGAACACACCCTTGCAGGCCACAGTGCAGGGAATCTCCCCACTCCAGGCTCCCCCACCCCCACTTCCAGCCAGGCCCCACCTCCTGACCATCTTCAGCTGCAAACTCATCCTTGGATGAATCCACTGATAGATATAGCGCTCCAGGATCCAGTCAGCTCCCAAAAGCTCCCCCTCTGAACATACTAGAGTTTAGGGAGAGAGTCTAGATCTACATTTAATCTGTTGTTTGTTTACGGTGCTGGGGATTGAACTCAGGACCTTATGCATGCAACACATGCACAATGCCACTAAGATACTTGAATTGTAGGTGGAGGATTACGTTAATATATGTTGTTTTAGTGTCTTCTTTTACACCCTTTATGAGGACCTAGGTGACTGTAGATCTTTAAAGCCCAGCCTATTGCTTTTTGCTCTGTTTTGTGCAATGAAAATAAAAGTTACAGCTGATCTTTTCCAAACATAAAGCACCATTATTTCCCTCCCTCAGAATCCATCACTGTCATACACAGTGGCCGTGCTGACATGCGTGCTCCTTCCAGACAGCTGCCAGCTGTTTGCTCTATCATGGACATGGACACTTTTCATGCCCAGACCTCAGACCCACCTTTTCAAAACACTGTGTAGCATCTGCTGCAATGGACTCATAGCTGATTAATCCGTGAGGGTGAGCCTTTGCTATTCAAAGCAACGGAACATCAACGCTCTTGTGCATATCACACCCGGTCTGTGATTGGAGTAAGGTTCTGCATGACAGCCTGCATGTGTTTTTGATTTTGTGAGATGCTCTTTTTCTCTCTAGGAGGCCTTCACCAACCACAGCCCCCGTGCACTGTTGCAGTTTGGCTACAGCTTCAGCTTCTGAAAGTCTGCAGCTCCACCTCGAAGCAGTGAGATATTCCACAGGGGAACCTTGCTTGTTCCCTGGAGGGCCGGTTCTTGTCCTTTGCTAGAGAAACTCCCAGCTGCTTGGATCAAACTCTTGACAGCTTTGGCAGTCGACTCTCCTTTGTTGTAATTAGACCCACACGTGGACGCCCTGGGGGTGGTAATTACCACCACCCGACTTTATAAGCCTGTCTGTGCTGAAAGCTTTCAATAGCCGCTCTGAGGAGATCCTTTGATGGCAAACTTCAAAGCCCTGCTTTGGTGAAGGCTTTTTTTCTTTCTTGTTTCAACTCCAGTAAAAAGATGGGACAGACACCCAGTTCCTTCCCGAGAGCAGTGGAAACAGGGCAAAGGCAGAGCAGAGTCTAACTGGACTGAACGAGACGCATTGCACAGGCACAGACTCTCAGTAGGGCAAAGAGTCCATGCCGGGCACAGGGGAACAGGAAAGAAGGAGGGAAAAGAGAGAGAGGAAGTGGGCTGGGGGTTTAGCTCAGCAACATAAGTACCTGCCTTGCAAGCAGGCAGTCGTGAGTTTGATCCCCGGTACCGCTAAAAATGAAAAAAAAGACCAAAGAAAGAGAGAGAGAGGAAGTCTGTGGCCTAAGATAGTTTGAAAAAATGACTGATCGAAGCTACTACCTGCCTGCTTCTGCAGGGCCAGGAGCTAATATGAATATTTTTGGTTCAGTCACGAGAGACCTATCAGACAGCCCAGTGTCTTACACAGCTGGAACCCAGGCAGAAATGCACCCTAATGCCCCACTGTCAGCCTCTGCCAAGTCGCCTCCGATCCAGCCAGAACAGACAGAGCTTAGTGATAGACACACACTGACCAAGGGTACCTAGCAAGGGCACAGTGCAGGCTGAGCCCCACGTCTCCTCTGACTTTGGAGCCCCCTTCACCGCCCAGTCCCCAGTGCAAGGTGAAAATCACGTCACCTAGTGTTCCTTCCTTGTCGATGTCAGTGATTGTGAAAAGGATCACAAGCGTAGATCACGCATACATACAAACTGCATACAGTGGTACCGGCTATGAAGGAGTCAGTGTGACCTGGGAGTTTTATAGATAAAGGGTTAAATCCAGACAGGTGGCTCCAGATCCATGGATGTGATGTCAAGATTCATTTAATAAAAAAAATACATATTCAAGTTAGATGTACAATTCTTCACATAGTCATTCCATACATAGTAGATGATTTTATTCTAAGCAGGGGCAGAAGACGTAGAGAGTCATGAGGCATAGTGCCCAACGACATAAACTGAGGGGCATCTTTTGCACCCGAAGGAGACAGTGTGTCAGAATATGAACTCAGCGCATGGAAAGAAGAGACACTGAGAGCCAGGAAGAGAGTCTTGGAGTTGCTTAGGCCTTAGTGTCAGCTGGAGTTAAGATTCCTGACCATGTACAGTGGGATAGTCTCCTTTTCTTGAGTTTGAACTGGATTTCTATCACTTCCTACTGAAGAAGTCTAATAATGTCTGCAGTACCTATTTCATGGCCGAGTTTAACAATCATCAGAGAGAGACTGGCGAGGACTTACCTTCCTGTGCTCACTTACATGGTTCCAGACACCTACCCTGCAAGACAGCTGCTCCTTGAAAGCTTCCAATTCACAATTTATAGATTCTTGAAGGATTTAAAACCACCAAGAAGCCAAGGAGAGCCGAGAGTTCTTGTTTCAGGTCACAACTACATGGTTTAAATTGCCTGAAGTCTTTCAGGGTCGATTTCTCTGGTCCTTGAACCTGCAACTTGGTGGGTGACTTGGTTTGCCGGGTGAAATGTTCATCAGTGACTCACAAACAGGGATTTAAAATGCGCACCAGAACAGAGAACATGGGCAAGACTCCGGAGGACAGGCGGCTGCAGAGACCATCAATCTTCCCTGCTAAGTCCACCAACTGCCATGCATGAGTGGCCCAGGCACAATCAGCAGTGCAGAGGTTCAAAGCCACATAGTCACAAAAAGCAAAAAGGTGATGGTCACAAAAAGCAAAGAGAGGCTCACACAGCTTTGTGTCTGGCTTCTAAACGCCTTTCTCTTGTGTGCATATTTTTTTAAAAGGAAATTTCAATTACGGAGCAGTGCTTTGACTCAGAGGACTGTGGGGATCAGAGTTCTGGTGATGGTCCTGAGGAAGTGGGCAAGTGGCTTTCTGGAGTCTTTACACTCAGCTCTTCCAGGGATCGAGGTGCCTTTATGTTAGGCAAACATTTGATTGCTCACGAGGGTGTTTAATTTCCATTCATTTGCATAGTTTTTATGCTTTTTCTTACCATTGATTTCTAGCTTCATTGCACTATGATCTGATGATTTACCTGGGATAATTTTGATTCTTTGGCATTTATGCAAGCATGCTTTATGAGTTACTATGTCATCTGTTTTGGAGAAAGTCATGTGTGCTGTTGAGCACAATGTATTTCGTTGTTGATGGAACACTGTAGATATCAAGCATTTCCATTTGTTTAAAGGTTTAGTTCAACTCTGAATTTTTTTGTTGATTTTTTTCTAGTTTGCCTGTCCATTTGTGACAATGGGGTATTGAGGTCCCCTGTTACAATTGTATTGCTGTTTGTATGATTTTTAACATACCGTGATATTTACTTTATGAAGTTGAGTATGCCAGTATTTTTTTTTTTTTTGTCTTTTTCGTTTTTATCGGTACCAGGGATCGAACTCACGACTGCCTGCTTGCCAGGCAGGTGCTTATGCCGCTGAGCTAAATCCCCAGGCCCCAGTATGCCAGTATTTGGTGCCTATGTGTTTATAATTTCTCTTACTGTTGAATTATTCTCTTAAATAATATGTAATGACCTTCTTTGTCTCTTCTCAAGAGTTTTGGCTTCAAATCTACTTTGTCTAAAAGTAGCATAGCTACTCTTACGTTTCTCAGGTTCCTATTGCATGGAATATTGTTTTTTTATCCTTTGATGTTTTTAATCTGTGGATTTTTTGTTAAGTTTCCCGCAAGCTTGAACTACTGGTGGAATGTACCTGACTGTTCCACCAGTTGGCTTATACCACTGGTGGGACAAACTGATCTAATCACTTTTACTGTCTTTATACTAGTAGAATTATTAGAAATTCATCTAGTGGGACAGTCACGCATACACCACTGGTGGGTCAAGTGGCCTGGCATGAGACGCGTGAATTGTGGCCCCATCATAAACATGTGAAGTGTGTTTCTTATATACTTCATATTGTTGGGTTTTATTTTTGATCCATTCTGCCAATCTCAGTCTTCTGATTGGGGAATTGAGGCCATTCACGTCAAAAGCTATTCCTGGAAGGTAACTGACTTACTGCTGCCATGGCATTGTTTTCCTATGCTGATTTCCTTGCTTTTCCCTTTTGCTTAGCTGCTCATCCCGCCACACGTATTCATTCTTTTTTACTATTGGCATTGTTGGATTTATAGTCTCTTAAAAGTGGGCAGGTGGGGCCTTTGTATCAGAGGGCTCAGGGAGAACCCCAGCAACAGAAGCCCAGTCCCAGCACCCACACCCAGAGGCCAAGATCAGCCCCATGCCCAGCACAAACCTCAGTGGAGATTTGGCTACAGTACACAGCACATTTCTGGAATCTGACTTTGACCTGCTGTGGAACTATAGACATAGACACTAGAGGAATTTTACTACTTTTATTTTTCTCTGTGTGTTAGATTGGTTTTCCTTTTTCTGTCCAGTGGAGTTTTTGTTTTGTCTTATTTTGGTTTTTGTGGTTATTTTTATTTTTTTCTTTTCTCTTTTTTTCTTTTTTTCAGAATTTAGGTTTTTTTTTTCTTTTTCTTTTTTTTTGAGACGGGGTCTTGCTATGCAGTTCAGGCTGGCCTTGAGCTCACTTTGTAGCCCAGGCTGGGCTCGAACTCGCAACGATCCTCCCGCCTCAGCCTCCCGAGTGCTGGGATTACAGGCATGAACCACCACGCCTGGCTCTAAAATTTAGGTTTCTTACCTTTCATGTTGCTCTCTTCCTGTTACCTTCTTTCTCTCTTTCCCCAACTATCTCACTTGATTTTATGTTACTTTTATGTAGGCAAACATTGTCACTTCTCTTTCTGGTTTACTTCAGTATTCCTTCGTTTCTCTTTCCCTCCTGCATCCTCCAGTTTCCCAAAACATGGGGGGATCTCTCTTTACCCTCCAACTTTGCTCCTACTATATCTGACCTCATTCATTTCTCTATCTTGTCCTCTATCCCTCTTAAACTTCGCCTCAACAACTGGGTAAAATCACCCCACTAAGGGAAAAATTATTGCATACAGGTTCCTGGTATATGTTGGATTTTGTTATAGAATGCAGAATTTGTGCCTATGGTTAAAGGTATCAGGTTAACAGTTACCACAGTTTATTAGTAGCCAAGCAGGCTTGAGACTGTTCATACTGCTAACTGTACTACTTTAGCCAGGAAATTATACCTGTTATAACCAGTTTTACTCCTCTGTATGACAAAACCATGATTGAGTGGGATCATAACCATAATTGTAAGTCAAGTACCAAAGGACTGGGTACTGAGCCAAATAGATAGCAGCTTCTCATCCCTAATACATTGGGAAAGGAGGTTCTTGAGATAGACACAAAGATCAAGAACTATCTACATCTAGAAGACATCCCTGAGGAACAGACATTTCCTAGGAAGTCTCTATTCTAGGGATACAGCTGCCTACCTTAAGAAATCTACAGGTGGGGTTAGGGATTTAGCTCAGCGGCATAAGTGAGTTCGATCCCGGATACCGATAAAAAGGAAAAAGACCAAAAAAAAAAAAAAAAAAAAAAAAAAAAGACAAAAGAAATCTATAGGCATCAGCAGAAAATGAATCAATAGAAAATGATGAGATGCAGAGCAAAATGAACCCTGGCCCCCGGCCAAACAGGACAAGCTCAGAGCACAGTGAGACAGAAACAACTGGAAACGAACCACTGGAACTTTCTGGAATGATGGCAACAGAAGTGAAAATACAAACAGAAGAGGCTACAGAAAAAAATAATCTCTGACTTGCAAAAAGAAATGATCAAAAATAAAGAGATTAAAGCATACACAGATTTACAAAAAAACAGAGGAGCTCAGGAAAACAATAGAAACTATGAACTCGCAACACAGGAAAGAAGTGGAATCCATGAAACAGACCCAAACAAAAACCCAGAAGATTAAAAAGTACATTGAAAGTATGTGCAACAGATTGAATTAAGGCAAGAATAGAATATCAGGTCTAGAAGGCAGGGTTGTGGCTAGTGACCATTAAAAGAAAGATATCTTTTTTTTGTTTTTTTTTTGGTCTTTTTCCCTTTTATCAGTACCAGGGATTGAACTTTGAACTCACGACTGCCTGCTTGCAAGGCAGGCGCTTATGCCACTGAGCTAAATCCCAGCCCCAAGAAAGATATCTTAAAAAAGCAAGAGGACCAGGAACATAGCTCAATGGCACAGTGCCTGCCTGGCAAGCACGAGGTCTTGAGTTCAATTCCAGTATATAAAAAAAAAGGCAAGAAACCATGACAAATCCAACAGCTACAATATGAAGCAAAGAAGAACAACATAAGATTAACTGGAGTCAGTGAGAAAGCTGGAGAGAGCACAAAAGTCATAAAAAAAAAAAAACTTCACAGAGATAATTGCAGAAAACTTTCCAAACAGGGACAAAAAATTTGACATACAAATAAATGAAGTATATAAAATACATAAATGAAGGATATAGAACTCCAAATAGCCATGACTAAAAAGTTTGTATGTGTGATGTACTTCTGGTGCTTTGGGTGTAATGTGGTTCAGAAATGTTTTAGTTGGTCATAGCTATTTGTGTTACTATATGCCTCACTTATCTGTATGTTCTTTTCTTACATTTAGGTAGTTTTCTGCCATTTATTTCTGTGAATAGTTTTTTATGCCATCTGTGCTGATTTGTCTTGTTTGCATCATCTAGCAGTTGGTGGGTCCATTATCTATACTCTCTTGTTGCTTTTAAGGTGTCTTGGAGTTGGTCTTTGAAGTATCTTTGTCTTCTGGGTCTGAAATTCTGTCCTCATATTGGTTGCTTTTCCTGCTCATACATTCAGTATAATTGTTTTTTTTTTTTTTGTCTTTTTCATTTTTTTATTGGTACCAGGGATCAAACTCACGACTGCCTGCTTGCAAGGCAGGCGTTTATGCTGCTGAGCTAAATCCCCAGCCCCCAGTATAATTTTTAATCTCCTGGTTTTCTGACTAAAACCTTTTCAAGGACTCCAGTTCTTTGCTAACCTGGTCATGTTTTGTACCATTTTGTTAGGTCTTCCAGCTTTTTATTAATGTCTTCTGAAATTTTCCAGATTCTTTTGGTTATTACTTCCACTGTCTGTTTAGTTATATATATATATATATATATATATATATATATATACATACATATATATATATACTTTAATCATTGTCTAATCTGTTACCCTTTGAAGTAAACTGAGTGGCTGGTTTATGTGCTCTTCTCAATACCCCTGGATTGGCTTTGGGGGAGTTGGTAGATTTGGGAGGCGTGGTGTTATCTTGTTTTCTCATGTTTCCATTGTTTTTGTTTGTTGGCTTTGTGCTGAAGTTTGTGGACACTTATGACTTTGTTCACAGTACAGAGAGTTCTTTGGCTACTTGCTTTTCAGTGATGTACTTTGGGTATTGCTAATTATAGTGTTTGTCTCAGCCCCAAGAGCCAACCACCTTGGTTAGTTTGGGAGGGGAGGGTGCAATGTAATTGGCCCAACACTGAATTCTCTGGGAATGTCTTCTAGTACTGTGAATGTCATAAATGTAACCTGAGTGTTGGATTATAGAGAATACCCATTACTAGCAACAATTATGTGACCCTGGTAATATCAAGCAAAACAGCTATAATAGCATCATCTAAGCCAAAATGGATATTAAGATGCCATATGAACCAATAATGTACCACTTTTTACTCTGAATAGAAAATCCACAATTATGGTATATACATTAAGATGACCCAGGTAGTTGGAACTTAGGTACTTTGGGAAGCCAAGCAAGCACCTCCCCTCCCTGGTAAGCGGTGGAGGTCTGGCCCACTTGCAGCCCTTCCAGGGGGAGAACCAGCAGCAGCTCCTGAGATCCGCACCATGTTGGAACTGAGGACGCTGTGAAACCAAATGACCATCCTGCCTCCCTGCTAAGCAATAGTGAACCTACTGCTACATGGCCTAGAGTCAGATATCCCACTTCCCCTATCCTCCTCCCCCCGCCCGCCCCCCCCCCCCGCCCATTAGCAAATGGGAACCAGAAATCTGAGCATCTCCTGGGAGGTTGACCATTGCAAATAAGGGGGACTTCCTTCTACCATTTCTTTGAAGGCAAATATTTTTATTACTGTTTTGCTCTTTTCTGATTAATGGTACTGCTCTATTCAATATTCTGTTTTGATAAGTTCTATAGTGTTCTATATTTCATCTCATTTTGATATACATGATTGAAAGAACAACTATTATAAAGATAACAAAATATACTGTGGGGGCTGGGGATTTAGCTCAGCGGCATAAGCGCCTGCCTTGCAAGCAGGCAGTCGTGAGTTCGATCCCCGGTACCAATAAAAAGGAAAAAGGAAAAAAAAAAATACTGTGATACCTATTACTGTTATCCTGGTAACCTGCTTTGAAGTTCTGTACCAATTTCACTGTACGATCTTAGTTGGCTTTATTCTGACTTGTTCTGTTGTATACTTTCAAAATAAAATTAAAAAAAAAAAAGATGACCCAGGTATTGATTTATAGCTAATATGTACTAAATGCTACAACTATAGCTACACTAACAATAGACGAGTATCAATAGTAATTTTATAGGGTTATTTCTGGAATATTAAAGCTTTATGGTTATACTATTGAGAATGGGGAATACTATCTGAGAGAAGTGGTATAAAGTTGTGGAGTGGAGTGAATTATGTACACAATTACAGAACTATGTAAAAACAGGAAAAAACGGACAAGAAATAGAAGATAAAAGAAAAAGGAAGAAAAGAGAAATTTTATGGGAATAAAAACTAAAGTGTGAGTAGTTAAAAGGGAAAAGAGGAAAAATACAGAAGAAAAGAGATAAAAAGCAAGGAAAAAAGAACAAAAGAAAATTTCCCAATTTTCCCTTTACTGCAGAAGAAAGTAGGAAAAAAGAAATCTGAGTGTTGGTTTACACAAAAAACCCACTAATAGTAATAATTATGCAAGTCTGGTAGTATTAAATAAATCAGCAAAAAACAAAACAAACACACCACACACAAAACAAGCACAAAAACAAAACAAAACAAAACAAAAAACCCCAAAAAAACCCACTTCTCTGTGATTCTGAGTGTTTTTCTTCCTGGATCTACAGTTTGGGGCAATGTTTAAGTCAAGATCGATCCCTGTTCATGCTTGTAGATAAAAACAGCAGCCAGACGCAGATGTGCGGTGGATGCAGGCATAGCAGGCAGAGGGCCCAGGGTAAGGGTGCTGTGTCATCAGGTGCAGAGGCACTCAGCAGGAGCCTGAGCTTCGGGCACCGGGGCAGGCCTGCCCTGTAACTGAGACCCCTTGGTGGGCCTCTTTGCAGCTGCTCCTTGACTGCAGCTGTTCACTGGCTGTCTCTCACCATGGGGACCTAACACAAGGAGCTCTGAAATCAAGCCTTCATGCAGCTTCTGAGTCCTGGCTCAGACAAGGAACCTTCTCTGGCTCATTGTCCAGCCATGTGTTCTCCCCAGTCACGTGCCGGATGCTCAGGCTGCAGCTGGTCAGCGGCTGTTGCCTTCAGAGACTCCCTGGAGCAGAATCCCACGCACGCCCTGCAGCCTACAGCACCTGTGGGTCCACTGCTCTACCACTCTCGGGATTCAGTGTCCTCGCAGAGAGCCTTAAGCCAGGGAGAAGAGGTGCAGACTGTCCCTTCTGTTCTCTTCAGTTTTCCTGCAAACCCTTCCTGGTTCTTGGGATCTACTTTTCTTTTCCTCTCCAGGTTGCTGTTTGCCAGGGTCTGGAGTTCAAATCTCAGAGAAGCTAAACTGTTGCTTACCACTCTACCATATTCCTTTTAATTCTGATTTTGAGAAGCGTTCTTGTGAAGTTTCCCAGGCTGGCCTCCAACTTGCAGCCCCTCTACCTCAATCTTCCAATAGCCGGGATTATGAATGTGTGGCAAACACCCAACTTCGTGACTTTTCTTTTCTGCCTTAATTTTCAGTTGTGTGGGTCTGATATACTTATCTGTGGTTCCCTTTGTTCTGGTCTTACTTTGGATTTACCTGAACTTTTTATCTGTCAAGTTGTTGTCTTTATTTTTTTGTCTTTTTCCTTTTTATCGGTACCAGGGATCGAACTCACCACTGCCTGTTTGCAAGGTAGGCACTTGAAGTTGTTGTCTTTAAATCAGGTTTAGAAAACATTTAGCTATAATTTTAAGTTTTGGCTTTCCTTTCTCTCTCTTCTTTTTCTATCATTCTCATTCCATGTGTGTCGGAGTTTCATAGAATTCCACAGGCCTCTGTGGCTCTTTCTCTTTCTCCCTTTTTAATGCCACATGGAGCTTCCTGTATTTTTTTCACTTCTCCCCAGTAGTGAGAAGTGAACCCAGAGATTCTTTGGTTAAAGACTTGCTAAGTCACTAAGTTCCCAAGCTGGAATGGTCTTGTAATTCTCTGGCTCTGGCCTCCCAAAATGCTGGGACTGCAGACGTGTGGCACCATACCATGCTCAGAACGTTAGAGGTACATTACTTATTTGGGTTCCTATGAAGGAATAATCTGCATCACTCTTTGGTAAAATAATATTTAGTTTTATTATAAGAACACCTGATGTTTACATATCACCTCCAGTATAAAAAGTACTGCCACACTTTCTCTCACCAGTATCTAGGTACTTGCTTTTTCCCTCTGCATAACAGCTACAAATGCATATTCTTAAGTTTTGCTCACTGATAAAAAATACTTTTTTATATTAAATTGCAGAGGCAGTATGAATGCTATTTTTTCATGGGGGGGTGGAATAACATCTCAATTTATTTTGATTTATAGGATTCTTTTTTATGTCATCACAAATCTTCCACCGAGATCATCTAATAAAATTTATTGCTGTACTTTTCAACTCTATAAATTTCATTTCTTTCTTATATAGAGTTCTATTGTGACGACGTTGCTGAGTGGATTGGTTCTAAATGAGGAGCTGCATATGGTATATTTGTTATTACAATGTTCAGAGCAAAGAGATGGTTAAAGGAAACTCCCAACAACTGCTTTTTTTTTTTTTGGTACCAGGGATCGAACTCACGATTGCCGCTTGCCAGGCAGGCACTTATGCCGCTGCCAACAACTGCTTTTATTTGCATAACTCTTACAAGCAGTTACTGTAATATAATAACAACGTAAAACTATAGTATGATACAGTATAATCAGCCAAGATTACAGTACTGTATAAAAAAGGTATATGGTACCAAAAATGGTGAGGCTTTATAAACAAGATGTGCAGAACTGTTTCAAAAGAAGAACAAAGGGGCTGGGGATTTAGCTCAGCGGCATAAACACCTGCCTTGCAAGCAGGCGGTCGTGAGTTCGATCCCAGGTACCAGAAAAAAGCAAAAAAAAAAAAAAAAAAAAAAAAAAAAAAGAACAAAGAGGGGTCATAAGTCCTAGGAGGTGGTGTTAAGTCTGAACAATACACGTTGGTCCAATTCTGATCATTCATTTAATGGGTGGGCTGTTAAAAGAGCAATATTTGCAGGCCACTTCTCTATTGAGATTTTCTATCTGTTAAATAACTCATTAACTTTCCATTTAATCCTTTGAAAAATGCTCTTTAATTTTTAAACATAAGACCTATTTAAAAGTGTACTTTTAAGGACAGTATCTAGGCCTACCTAAAGACATTTTCTATTGATTGCTTTTTCTCCTGTTTTTCGTATTTGTCCATAAGAACTGCCATTTTGGGTTGAAATGTGGACATTTTATGTGTTACAGCAACTCTACACATATTTTAATTTTTCATGATGTTGTTGGTGTTTTGTTTTTAATTATCTGCTCAGATTTAGAACTTGTCTCTCCCATGATGTGTGGCTGCTACCAGCTGTTTTTAAAATCCTCATTTGTACTTTAGCCTGACTTTCTGGTGCACGGCTGCACAGGTGAGTGGTGGGCAAGTGACTGGGGAAAAGGCTATATTCCAACACTGCTAGTTGAGGAAAGCAGTCCAGCCTACACTTCTCAAGTCCCCTTGACTTTCACTTTTTTTTTTTAAACTTTAGAGAAAAAAAAGACAGAAAAAAACCTAGAAACAAACAACAGCAACAACTTTCATTTTTAAAGTGGGTCTCAGGTCAACCCCATTGAAGTGCCTCATTTCTTAGCTGGTTAGAGATCTGTAGAGGCTTATTTTACCCTTCAGTGGCTCACTTATTTCTTTCTTTCTTTTTTTTTGGCTCTTTTCGTTTTTTACTGGTACCAGGGATTGAACTCACGACTGCCTGCTTTTGAGGCAGGCGCTTATGCCGCTGAGCTAAATCCCTAGCCCGGCTCTCTTATTTCTAAACTCTCCCTCTCCCTGGGGCAGGGGAGGGAAGAGAAGCAGCCTTAGGCAAGACTAGACACAGACTATTTCTACTGAACTTCTAGCAGTTTTTGAATAGTAGATGTTTCTTAGTTTTTTGTATTTGATTTCCACTGCTCCAAAATAGTTACTTTGCCAGTTTTACCCAGCTTTATGTTTGTTTTGTGTGCAGAGAATTACTGAGGCAGTTAGTGGCTAGTAAGGATGTTACAGTGCTGTGTAAAATAAATCCAACTGAATTAGTAAATTGCTAGAATTTTAATAGCAACCAGCCTAACCGACACAGGGCACTTATGGCTCTCAAGTTTAAAG